TCAGCTTTGTTATAAAGCACTGGGATTTAGTGAGTGTTGTTATAGAATTGTGATAGTTGTTGCTAGGGGACTGTAACCTTCCCAGGATGACGCCACACTCCAAAGTTGCCAGTTCTCTCAGCCGTTCCCCGGCAGAGATGCACTGTCAGCAGTAGACGGTGTTTAACTAGAGGCTGTCCCTTCACCCAAATTCATAATAGTTCCCCTAAGTACTTCAATTCAGACAAACGTTTCTATTACAGCAGTACTTTTGGTTTGTTCTACCGAAAAACTTCACTTCACACTGAGGGTGAAATTACTGTATTTAGCTGTTGTAAAGCTCTTCGCCAAACACTGCACAGCTATTAGGTGATATAAAGTATTTTTCTAAAGGAGCTAGTAAAGCTAAAAGTGGCACAGCTCTAAACTGTATTTAGTATTTTCACTTCATTAGCTTTAACTCCTGATATTATTAGCAGCTGTAATACTTAGCATTGATTTTTTTATAAGGAACTTTCAGGTGAAGCAACTCTTTTGTAAGACAGCTAGATTTTCTGAAATTTGTTTCCCATCTATAAAGCAGTCATTTTTTTGAATGCCTGTTTCCTTGTCTCCTTATTAGATTTGCAAAGGAATTACTCATAGCAGGCAGTTTGTTCAAAAGGTAAAGAATTTTTAATTTCACATAAGTTTCTTCATATCTTAGACAACGTTCAGTGTATAAACTGCTCTCTCTTGCTTTCTTAAGGATTTTAAAGTGGCTTGTTTGCTCTTAAAGGCAGCTTTTTGTCTTCCAACTACTGTAAAAGCTTTGCACAGCTATTAGGGTAAATAAGGCATTTTACCAACGGAGCCCCAAACCGCGAAGCACCTAGTTCCGTATCCTTTCAATTTTTTATTGGAACTGACACTTAAACTCTTAGATGATTTTCCTCCTTATTCTTTTAAAAGCTGTATTTTAAGTTTACCATGAACGTATTTTCGAGCTGACAAAAGTGTTTCAAGGCAATGTCGCCATCTTTAGCGGAAAAACTACCTTTCCCAGAATGCATTTCCCTTATATCTGTCCATAATATCAGTCCCTTAAATCAGTCCTTTATATCATTTCCCTTATATCAGTCATTTCCCATAGTTCTTTTTGGGTCTGAGAGTCAACTGGTTCTCTTTTACCAGACTTGTTTACAAATTCTTGCCCAGGAGGTTTGAACAAAGTTTTTTGCTTTTGCAACGGGAGATTTGAACAAGCATTTTACATTTTCAGCTATGGCACATTGGGAGATTTCTACTCTCTCCTCAGCTGGCTTCAACAGGTGTCTCTCCTTCATTTGACACTGGCCCCAAATCAGAACCGCACCTGCCTCATTAGCGCGCATTGAGGTGGGCATTTCTGATAGCAACTTTCCTCGGGGCTTGTGTTTGTTTTAGCCAGTCAGTGAAAAACAAGATCACATACAACAGCTTTTCCATAGCTCTTTCAGAGAGATTTTCTCCCACTGATTTTATTCTCATTTTGCTTGTTCCTTCCTTCCCCAGATGTAGAGCTTCAGGTATCTGTTTGTGGCTCTGTACCTCTGCTAGCTGCCTTTGGAAGTAGGGGCTTTTTTTCTCCCTCCGAATCTGCCTCAAATTCTAGCAGCTTTTTCAGGTCATATATTTTCTGGGGAGGAATATGACCCTTCTGTTTCTTTGGAGTCTTTTTTCCCAGACAGTTCCCAGTTTGGTCTCAATTTATCCCCTCTACCCCAGAAACAGTTTCCGACACTACAGTGGCGGCTCTCCCTGCTCCTGAAGGTAGGGTTTTTTTGTCCGTTTCTGTTTTCAGGGTCTGTGTGGTTTGTGTACAGATTGAAAATCTAACAAGGGAGGTTTTTGCCATTTCTAAACTCCCATTAGGACAGGTGCTTTGCTTCATCAGGCCTTCACCTGGCCCAGTCCCCCAGTGGGTTGGGTTTGCTTGTCTGGGTGCTCAAGGACAGAGCTTATGCCAGAGGCAATCACCCCTCAGGGCTACACTCCCTCATCTCAGGGAGTCAGTTGAAACAAAGCTTTTCTCAAAGAGGTGCTTTTTCTGACAGAAAAGAAAGCTTTACTCCTGGATAGTTCTGTTCTGCCCTGGCTGGGCTCTTTCCCCAGACAGCGTTCTGACTCAGCAGTACAAATGCTTCAGACACAGTTCAGCTTTACTGTTTTCCCAGAAAGGTCCTTTCTCTGATAGGAAAGCTTTTCTCAGATCTTTTTTTTCAGCTGTGGACCTATCAACCCGGGACTTGCAGGAAAGCAGGCAACTATGCCGTTCCCAGTGGCTTTAGCTTTGTTTGTTCATTAGCAATCTTCCCCTGGGTCCTGCACCTTCCTGCCTCAGCTCTGTGCTCCAGGAAGTTTACAACTGCAGGAACCCCTACTATCCCCAAAATGCACCCCAACTCAGAGACGCTGGCCAGCCGCCTCTGGGTTTTTGGTCAGAAGCGAGGATACAATGCTTCAGGGGATCTTTGCATTAGGATGATTAGGAGCACCTTTTCATTCTGAAACGCTCACTCAGAAACAAAACCCTTGATGCCTCAGCTCAGCTGTAACTGAAAACTTGGCTTTTTTGCTTTTCTCAAGGTAGTTTCCTTCCCTTTTGGGCTCTCTGTAGCTTTTCACCCACACTCTCCCAAGCATTTCCCTCAGGGTACTCTGACCCACTGTCTTTTACTGGCTTGAAGAGACAGAGCTTAGAAAAGGTTTTTAGGAACTTGTCCCTGCCTCCTGCATTGCAGGGAGGATTTTTAAAGCTTGAAAGAACTTAGGTTTTGCTGTCTTAAGAGGTTTGTTGTTTTCCCTTAGAGCTAATCACAGGTGGTCCCCATACTAATATCTTCAGGTGATTCTAATTTTTGTCCTTCTGAGAGAGAAAGTTAAAGGCTTTAGTTTTTAAGTTTGAGAGCTTTTAGTTTGAGAAAGATTAAGGCTTTTTTAGAGAGATTTTCCCCCCAAATTTTCCAAGAAAAGCTTTATAGTTTGAGAAAGATTTTTTTCCCCAGGAGAAAGACCAACTTTTCCCAAAACTTCCCCACTTTAAATTGACTTCTTACACCCCCATTTTTGCCTCAGGGAGAAATCACTTTCTCCTACCACTTGGACTTAGCATTTCAGATGTCCCCAGGTCAAAAGCTTCCATAGGAAACTTTTTCTTCCCCATAAGCTCAAAGAAGAACTTTTTTTACTACCCATAAAGCCCAAAGAAAGATTTTTTCCCAGTTTGCATTCAGAGCCCCCAAAGTTAGAAAATTGAAGAGTTTTTCTGTCTAGTTGACTTACTTATTTTTTCCTACACATTCTTACACTTCTAACTTTTTCCTACACTATTTTACTACCCTATGCCTTATACTTATTTTTCACAGATAGAAATTGAGAAAGGGATAGAAGATAGAAAATTTTGACAGAAGAGCATTTCGCTGCAGCATCGGACATCCTTCCAGTCCGCTTTCCTTTTCTCTCGAGGATAAAACCCCTGCCTCTCAATAATATATATAAAAATATATATATTTTCCATAACACCGGCATGCCTTTCCACTGGCAGGGCTGACTCAGCACTTTCGCCAAAAACTCTGTAATAAAACTATTATTTTCCTTTATCTTTAGTCCCTATTACTTTGTCTTTAGTCCCTGTTCATTTGTCTTTAGTCCCCCCTTTTTTTTAGTCCCCCCTTTTTTTAGTCCCTTTTTTTCTTTTTCTTTAGTCCCTGTTCAGGCGCCATTCTGTGGGGCGTTTACCCAACCACCCCCACAGTTCCCCAGAGTTTTCTTGAGTGCGAGCAGCAGGAAATATTAGATAGAAGAATTTATTGCGGAGAATATCGCAGAGATAAACAGATAGAAAATAAAGGATAGCCTCGAGAGGGCCTGGAACCTATTCCAACGGGCCCGACTGTCTCTGCCCCAGGGTTTTTATAGAGACGCCAGGGGGTGGAGCAAAAGACCTCCTCCCCCAGCACAGCCAAGTGCAGACCATCTCAGACACCTGCACTCAGGCCCGTGGTCCTAATCATCCTCTATGCGGACATGCTGGGTAAAGCCACGAGGAACCCGAGAACGGGCTCCCACACACAACCACAGTTGCTAACCAGATGTCATGAGCCAATCATAAAATGATTCCTGTATCAGTAAGGATCTATACCCAATCACTTCAAAGTACACTTAATCACAGCTGGAATTCCCCTAAGCAGGCTTAAAAGGGGCTGCTTTACCCTGACCCCAGGGTCAAAACCATTTTGGGCAGGCCCCAGCATACTGGTCTTTTCTCAAGAATAAAGCTGCTTTCTGCAATTGTGTATCAGGTGTCTTCTGGTCATTTGGAATGATCTAAGTAGGGAGGACAGAAGCCAGCATCAGGTGTTTTCATCATTCTCTGAGTTCTGTTTTGAGACAGGGTCTCTATTTGAACATGGAGATTGCTGATTGAGGCAGACATGAACCCCAGAGATCCTGTCTTTGCTGTGCACCCCACAGTGTTGGGATTAAAACACTTGCCACCACAGATTTTGGCATGGGTTCTGGGGGCTGATGCTTGCAAAGCAAGTGTTTAAACAACTAAGCCAATTCCCAGCTTTTCAGAGCACCTTGTGAGTGGGGCTTTCTTCTCTACTTTTAGTAGTGCAGGCTGAGTTGGTAGCACAGAGGCAGGGGAATGGCAGCAGTGGTATGTTAACTTCTTTTTGGTTGCTGTGATTAAGTATCATAGCCAAAGTCATCTGCCGAAGAAAAAACCAATGATTTTGGTTTATGGTTCCCAAGGGATAGACCATAATGACAGAAGAGGCATGGCAACAGTGGTCAGGACAGGTAGGTGAGAGATCACATCTCCAACCACAACCATGAAGACGAGAAAGCGAACTGGAAGCAGGTGGAGCTATGAACTCTGTCGGTCTGACCGACAGGTCCAGCCGGTTTCTCCCTGAGGCTGAGTGCCCCCCACACCCTCCTGTCCACCAGAGAGAAACACACTGGGCCGGGGGTCTTGTCGAAGCAGGAACTCGCTTTATTGTATCAGGAGTGAACTAATATAGGTTGGGGGGATGGGAGGACAGGGTGAGGATAGCGGGCCAATGAGATGATGTTATCTCAGCAGTTACTAGGCAGAGGCCAATTCTAGGTCAGGTACGCAGAAGTCATGTCCCAGGACAGGTCACCAAACTCGAGCTAGGCTCGGGAAGTTACACTGGGCCTCACGCCCGGGCCTTGTGGGGCCCAACACTCTCAAAGGCCACTGCCAGTGACACACTTCCTCCAGTAAAACTGTGCTACCTAAAAGTCCCCAAAGCAGCCCCACCAACTGGGAATCAAGTGTTCAGATACCCCATCCTATGGGGGGACATAGCTCATTCAACCCCACAGGTGTTGACTGTTGACCAGTAAGGCCAAAAGGCGAGAGCAAGGAGAGACAGCTGGCTAGTTAGAGCTGAAGAGGACACAGCTGAGCAGTTCAAGAGCCCACAGACACAAGGTTCATAGGGGAGAGGAGAGGATAAGGAGAGAAGACTACGCAGAGCCAGTGAAGAGTTCCAGGTAACTGTCAAGCTCACAACTGAACATAGCAGCTTTACTTGTGCTGAGATTGCCAAGCAAGTCTTCCTCTCTCTGTCCAATCAACTACAGGCAGGCTTCTGGGCCATGTGTCCCCCAGTCAACGTTTACCATGCAGACAAGGGCATGTCCCAGCTCTGTGAGGCCTGGCTCTACCAGCTTGTCCACGAAGAAGAGGTGATTTGCTTTGCTTGCTTCAAGGCAGGTTTTCTGTTAGTTAAAAACATGGTGGAGATGGGAGAGTGGGAAGAGGAAGAGTGGGGTACTGAGCCCATGGAACTCTCGGAGGCAGGACCTGAGCCGGAGGAGTGCGTGGAGTTGGAACCTGCCTTGCCACAGAGCCATGAATATTGTCCACAAACTGCCTCTGGATGTGAAGAGTCTAAGGTCTTGATACCAAGCCCTGTAGCAATGGCACCCCAGCCTATGCCCACTGAGCTGGGGCCTCAGGAAGCTGTACCCCTGGACCTGGACCCCGAGGATACTGAGTGGACCCAGGCCTTTCACTGGAGGTTATATATCTTTGATGACTGCCACCACGAACTCATCATCCCTCCTCTGTCCTGGTGGGATGTTTTCAATGTAGGCGCATTTCCTGGGCAACCTGTATTGTTGGAGTTGAGCCCCATCTGGCCCATGGATCCATGGGAAGCAGAAGCCTGGTTGATAGACCTGAAGTTCTTCTTACTGTTGAATAGCTTCGATGCTATCTTGTACCTGCTGTCAATGACTCCCTGCTGGGCTGTGAGGACCCGGGTCAAGCGCTGGCAGGTGTTGCTGGATCCTGGTGAGTTGACGTTGGTACAGCTACAGAATGCACCTGAACAGCAGGACCTGAACCGCTGGAAGCTGAGCATCCTGGAGTCCTCAGATCCGGAGCTGGAGCTGGTGCCCGCTGACTGCAGCCTGCGGAAGGGAGGCTTCAAGGTGCACTCCTACCTGCCTTGGCACAATAGCACCCCAGAGGTCTGGAGCAGGGAACCAGGGGAGGGACTCCCTGTCAGAGAAGTTCCATGTGATTGTAACCTGAGTGACTCAGACTCCCTTGATCTCGAATCTAACCAAGGCATTGATGCTTAGGCAGCCCCCATTACCCCAGGGCCCCAGGGAATATGAAGAGCCAGAGGTTGCCTGTTCTGAGTAGCAGGGGAACTGTTGGTCTAGGATTTGAGGGGAGCATCTAGAACAGCATAGGGGCTTAGGGACCTCAGAGGGAAGTCTGGCATATTTACATTAGGAGTTTAGCTGTCCTCAGCTGACCAGTGTTTGGAAGGTGAGGCCTAGCTGTGTGTGTAGGTGGAGTGTTGTATATTGGGTGCTGTGGGGGACAGGTCACAGATTTTGTCCTAGTACGTGCATGGACTCTGAGGCACTGGTTGCCCTGGCATGTTATGTAGTTAGATCCTGTCTTTGGGGTCATGAGACCTGGTTTCAGGGTTAACTGTACAGAGTGTTTATGCTCTTTGTTTTTATTCATGTTCCTTTTGAATGTTTCTGTTGAATAAAGTTGGTGTTTTAATTTTTATTATTTTATGTGTATGATTTTCCCTCCATATACTAGTGCTTGCAGCAGCCAGAAGAGAGCATCAGGTCTCCTGAAGCTGGAGTTGATGCTGGCAATTGAACTCAGGTCCTCTAGAAGAGTAACCAGCGCTCTTACCGCTTAAGCCATCTCTCCAGCCCCAGTTGTCAGTGTTCAGTGGAGGCCCTATGCAATCTTCCTCAGTGGGTCTTGATAGAACAACCTTCTCACCCACTTCTGGCTTCAGGGGCTTGTAGTCCCACAAAAATGGGAATGGGGCACAGTGTGTTTTGTTCTTTTTGAGTCACGTGGTCACAGTCTCTATAACCCTTGTGCAAGTGCACAGGGTTTTAAATAAGAACTCTGTGTTGAATAGTTGTATGTTATCTGATTGACACAATGCCCTGGAAGTTGAAAGGGATCCATGTACCATTCCATATGTCTGATCTGCTAGTGTGAGACAGTGTCACACCTCAGCACCTGCATGCTCTGCACAGAGGGAACAAAACAGGATAAGACACCCATGTACCTCATCAAGGGACACTGAGTGACCATTGTCTTCTTCATGTGAATGACCCATCTAGAAATTTCTGCAGTTCTCTGCGTGTCTCTGGCTGGTATCACCTGGTGATTTAAGTGGTTCAGTTATTAAAGACAGAAGAGTCCCAATCCTGGGGCCATCTTACTGGTCAGTTAATCACATGAGAGAATCCAATTATGGGTTTTCTTCATTTTTTTTTTCTTTTTGAAACAAGGTCTTATTATGTAGTTCAGGCAGCTACAAACTCATGATCCTGCATCAGGCTCCTGAGTACGGGGATTACAGGTGTTTGCCATAACCCTGCCTCAAACATTGCTTTTTTACCTAACTTTGTGTGTCATTTTTCTTTCATGTCTTCCAGAAGTGTCTTAATTCTTGTCACACAGGGTTCTGATGCTCATTCCTGGAGAGATGGCACCACACTGTTGTATAAAGAACACAGTAAGGAGGTGTTGCTGCCTCCAGTGGCCTGGAGCCTGTGGTCCAGTGTGTACCTAACTCTCCTCCCTAACAAACTGGGTTTGTCTCCCTGTGTTCCCTCCTCTCTCCCTCTCCTGGTTAAGCAGTCAATCACAGCAAACACTTTGTTGTTGTTTTGTCTTCATTATTAATTTTCCTTTTATTATTGTGTATGTTTAGGAGTTTGGGTGCACATATGACATGGTACACATGTGGAGGTCAGAGGACAACTCTCAGGAGTCAACTGTTGTTCTTTATTTAAACGGTTGCTGCCTTTTAAGCTACAGCTGTCTGAATCAGCAACTGCAACTCCACCGCTACCAGTGGCGGTTAGGCCTAGGCCGCAAAGGGAGGGAAATCGGTTCCCTCTGGCTCCGACTCTCGCAAAGCTATGAAGGAAACTTAACTAAACCTCTCTTCCTCTAAAGAACTCAAGATGCAAAGGTTAAGGTGGAATACTGCTCTTCAGAGGCTTAACAGCAAGTAGCTCACTTCCTCTCCTTGCTCGCATCCTCTAAAAAGCCCTTTTGCTTTCCCTAGCCCCTCCTTATAAACCCTTTCTCACTTGGCTCCTCCTTACCACTTCCTGTCAGCTAGTTGCTGACTCAACCTCCTGACCGCAGGTGAATTTTGTTTAATCAAACACATCTTTGCATCATTAAATGTTCCAGAGCATAAACAAAAGTAACACACCTTGAAATAATATTCTACAACATTTCCCCCTTTTTGTCTAAATTTTAAAAAATGAAAGGTTTTAACTTTAACATAATAAGACTGTACACAGTAAGAACAATTATCAAGTAAAGATTGCATTCACAATGTAATGAATGCTAGTTCATTTGTGTTTGGCAGCTTAAGAGAAAATACTCCATTATCTATCCTATCTTAATGAATCTAAAGTTTTATACCTAATTTACTCTCTACCATAACTAAGGAAAACTGCAACTATAACTACCTAGTCTTCAACTCCATCAAAAACCCCAGAAGGATAATATTATTTAAAGTAAACAAAAGGTGCATTGCGAACAACTTCCAAAACTCTAGCAATGACAGACATCTGACTACCTGGACAGTCACCCAAAGTTCCTTCTGCAACATTGGGGCATCTATCTTCAGCCTACAGGTCCATAGTATTTTGCAGAATTATCAGATAAGCAGGAAATTTGAAGGACTGTCCTGCCTTGTATTGGCAAAGTTCATCAGTCACTTGTCTCAGTGTCCTGAAGCAGGAATTTTGAAGGACTGTCCTGTCTTGTTTGGGCAAAGTTCAACAGTCTTTTTCCTGTGTGTCCTGCATGTCCAGTCTGCACAGCACATTGTCAGCAGTCAAAGGCAAGAACAGTTTCTTTGCTCAGTGGCTAATCTTGCCACAATGAAAGCAAACTCCATAAGGAGTTTCTTTGATGCCCATCATCTTCTCTGAGGTAATTTGGTGCTGCCAGGAGCAGATGTGTCTCATTGTCGTGAAAAACTTTTAAGTTAACAAAACATTTTTAATGTCATGTTCTATAGGTCTTTGAAAGGTTTGAAGACCATCTATCTAACTAAAATATATCTATTTAACCTAGAAAACATACCTAACATACCTACAAATTTGATTATGAATGACTAACTACTGACCTATGTTTCTTGATTGTCCTATATAGTTTATAATAATAGCTTTCAAAAATTAGAACTTTACATTTTTAAATAAACTGCATAGGTACAATATTTTAACCAAGAGTAGAAACACATATACAATATGTGGTAACAAAAACTTTAAATTTGCATCAATATAAAAAAAACCCTTTAGACAAGAGTAGAAACATATACAGTGTAATAAAAATGACTTAAATTTATGTCAACATACAAAAACCCTTTAACCAAAAGTATATATATATATATATATATAGATATATATATATATATATAATGTTGAATTTGTATCAATATACAAAAGTTCTTACAAATACAAAATACTTGAGATCAATAGTTTTCCCTTAGTTTATAGTAGATTCAACAATCTATTATTTAAAGTAGATTCAACAGTCTACCCTTCCATCCTATAATTCCTATATCCCCTCTCCCTTTTTTTTCAGAGATCCCTGAATGTAATATCATTTGCATAATTTCCTCCCTTGCCAATACCAGTAACAAATTAGTAAACAACCCCAATAAATGATGACAAGCATCCATAACCCACCAAATGATCAAATATCATTCTTCCCACCTCTTAGGAATATGGGCATCATCCCCAAATTTTCTTCCTGTTGTCTGGAGATGATGATACCCTGAAAAAACTGAAATGTTGACCAACTTCTGAGAAAATATTGTGAACCAGGTAGAAGCATTGTTGTGGGGCTCCATCATACTTTTGGAGACTTCCAAGATCACTGTTAAGAAAATTTATTGTTTACTGTGGAAAACGTAAACTTTATCAAAATGGAAAGTTTAAATTTTAAGATAGTAATACACCTAAAGAAAAACTTTAAAAAGTCAAAATAAATTTTTGGAGAAAGAAATTTGTGACAATAGTAGTCCCTATATTTTGGTTTTTTTCTGTCCCATACCATGGCTCTTCTGATATGAGACAGAGACTCTGAATTTTCTTTTAACAACATGCTTGGATTTAGCGAAGTGGAGAGCCATGTTCCAACTCCAAAGTCACCTTTGGTTTATAATTGAGTCGGGACAACAAATATTTCAAGAGCTAAAGAGATTTTTATCCTATAGAAAGTAATTATACCATCATACCAGATTATTTCTTTTCTTGGTAATTTTTTTCCAGACAGTTCTTCTTTAGATGTCCAATGGTCCTTAAAGTCTTCAAGATGGATATTTTTATTTTCCTGTAAAGACAAAAACAAAACCCTGCCCGACCCTAATTTGTTGAGTTTTTCCTTTTGACATATTAAATCGCCTCCTTGGTGGATGAACTACCACTTCTTCTGATCCAAGAGGTCTCTCCTGTTCAAATCGAATCTTTATTAATTTTGATGGTATCCGTAGCTTTTCTTCTGTAGAAACAAAAGCAAAACCCCTTCCTTCCCCAATGTAGCACATATCCTGGTTTCCGTACTGAGGTCAATACATCTTTAAACTACACAGGCTGATTTAATTCTGTAGTTTTTTTCTATATCTCTCTGAAGCTGTCATTCCTTTCTCATTAGCATTTAGAAAATTTAAAGTTAATATAGTATTATACAATCTATCTCTGGGGAGCTTGGTTTCTCCCTTCTGTTTATTAATCATTTTTTTAAAGTTAGATTTGACCTTTCTGTAACTCTTTGTCCTGTAGGGTTGTGTGGTATACCTATAATATGCTTTATGTTCTAATATGCAAAAAACTGTTTCATTTTAATAGACATATATGCTGGAGCATTGTCAATCTTAATTTGTACAGGTATTCCCATAATGGCCATGACTTCTAATAGATGTGTAATTACAGAATCAGCCTTTTCAGAACTCAAAGCAGTATCCCATTGAAATCATGGATATATATCTATGGTATGGTGTATGTATTTTAATTTTCCAAATTCTGCAAAATGAAACATATCCATTTGCCAAATTTCATTTTTCTGTGTACTCTTTGGGTTACATCCTGCAGGTAGTGGAATTTGGTTATATAAGGAACAAGTAGGACATTGTCTTATAATTTCCTTGGCTTGTTGCCAACTGATGGAAAAAAAAAATTCTTTTTAAACCCTTGCTATTGATATGGTGGGGTTTTTTTAATAAAATTCTGAGGCCTCCAGCACATTTCCTACTAATAACTGATAAATTTCATCATTATCTTGTGCTAGAGGGTCTGGCAGACCCATATGGGATCTGATATGTGTTATATATATGGGATGATTCCTATTCCTGATTATTTCCTGTAGTTGTATAAATAATGAAGTTAATTCTAACTTATCAGGAATAAGTTCAGCAGTTTCAATATGTAAGACAACTCTTTCTGCATATTGAGAATCAGTAATTATAGTAAGAGGTTCTGAAAAATCTAATACCTTGAGAATAGCATATAACTCTGATTTCTGAGCTGAATCATAAGGGCTTTGAACCACTTTACTTATTTTTCCTGACTTACAACCTGCCTTTCCTGATCTGTCTGCACCAGTATAAAATGTAGGGGCTCCAGAAATTGGGGTGGGGTGCCTTTTATTATATGAGGTAAATCTAATTAGTCTTTTTTTTTTTTTAGGTTTTTCAAGACAGGGTTTCTCTGTGTAGCTTTGCGCCTTTCCTGGAACTCACTTTGTAGCCCAGGCTGGCCTCGAACTCACAGAGATCCTCCTGCCTCTGCCTCCCGAGTGCTGGGATTAAAGGCGTGCGCCGCCGCCGCCGCCGCCGCCGCCGCCGCCGCCGCCGCCGCCGCCGCCGCCACCACCACCACCACCACCCGGCTAATTAGTCTTTTTTATAAACTAAAATCTCTTACTTTTGGATATTTGTTACTTATCTCTCCCAAAAAAAATTACTGCAAGCTCTTTGCCGGTTTTCATTTTCTGCCCATAGTGAAGCAATTTCAGCATTAGTAAAAGGTACTACAATTTCTGCTGGTTCCATTCCTGTCAATTGACAAAGTCTTAATTTTTCTTTTAAAATCAACTCAGAAAACTTTTCCACATATGTCTTTAATTTTTTACTCTGTGTGGTAAAAATGTCCACTCTAAGATAACATCTTTGCATCATTAAACAAACATTGCAGAGCATAAACAAAAGTAACACACCTTGAAATAATATTCTGTAACAGTCAATTATCTTCTTCCAGGAATGATCACTCAGGTCATCAGCAAGAGATTTTACCTATCAAGCCATCTCATTGGTCCTTAAACCCTTTTTATGTGCAGGCCTTCTTTAAATAAAAAAGAAATGTAGCCGGGTGGTGGTGGCGGCGGCGGCGGCGGCGGCGGCGGCGGCGGCGGCGGCGGCGGCGGCGGCGGCGGCGGCGGCGGCGGCGGCGGCGGCGCACGCCTTTAATCCCAGCACTCGGGAGGCAGAGCCAGGCGGATCTTTGTGAGTTCGAGGCCAGCCTGGTCTACAGAGTGAGATCCAGGAAAGGCGCAAAGCTACACAGAGAAACCCTGTCTTGAAAAACCAAAAAAAAAAAAAAAAAAAAAAAAAAAGAAATGTATTTGCTGATTGATCTGTGTCTATGCCTGTGTGTGCACCAAGTGAAAGGTTTACAACAAGCCCCCACGGTCAGGCGTGTCTGCCTATGCCTGGCGGATACTTCCGCCTAGCTAGGTCCAGGTCCAGATAGCCATTTCCGGGTCAGGGCATCTCGCGTGACCAAGATCCATGACGTCCCACTAGCCACGTAAGCGCGCAACGTGGCCATGTGATGTACGCGCTTGCGTGTAGTAGTGATGCTGATCTGTCCACGCACAGCCTTTAAAATCCGGCGCCATGTTCCCGGTTCCTTCTTCTTTTTCCTTCTTCTCCACACACGTGTTTCCCACAGGCCTGCTCACTCTCTGTCCCTTTAATAAAACTCTTGTTAGCGGATTCTGTCGTGTTTCGTGGCATTTCCTTGCAGGGTAAGAACACAACGCAGCCGAAAAACTAACACCAAGTCCAGAAGAAGGCACCAGGTGTCCCATATCACTCTGCCTATCCCTGAGGAAGGATCTCTAGTACCTGCATCTTGTGTTTTTCTCAACTAGGCTGGAAGCTAGCAAGTCCCAGGTATCCTCCTGTACCCACCTCCTTCCCTCAGAGCTGGCGTTGTCGCCATGCTGTAGGCACCTGGCTTGTTGCATGGGTGCTGGATCCAAACTCCAGCCCTTATGATTGCACAATAAGCTGAGCTATCTCTCCAGCCCCCAGGCTTTTAAAAATTGAGTACATTTATTTATTGTGGGGGTGTATAGGGGTATGGGCGTGAGTGTGCCACACCACAGCATACATTAAGTTGAGGTGACATCACACAACAAATTATTTGATATGAAAAATCCAATGGCATTTAACATGTAGAATTATTCTCTCCTTCCATCACATGGATCTATGGGATTGACCTCAGGCCATCAGTCTTGGCAACAAGGGCCTTTCCCCACTGAGCCATTTCACTGGCCCTTCCGGACTTCATTTTTTAGATAATCTCACCACAGTGTGATATTCTGGGGAGCGGGGTGCATCATGTGGAGAGGCAGTCCCAGGGGCTCTCCATCTCTGTTCAGTGAACCTGTACTGACTCCTCAGTTCTCATCTAAAAATAAAGAGAAAAAACATCTGACCCAGCATAAACTCCAAAAGAATTACAGGTGTATTGATGCTCTTAGCAGCATTGCTCACAATAGTAAAAACTAGAAGCTAAATTTCAGCAAGCCATGAGCAAATAAATTGTGGCAATCCATACCTAGGAATATCACTCTGTGATAAAAAGCAGCATGGGTGCATTTGTGCAGCATGGACAGACCTCAAAAGTGTCATGCTAAGTGAAAAAGGACTGTCAAAAGAGCACATACTGTGCGGCTGTGTTTATATAAGGCATTCAGAGTCGACCAGTCCTTCAGGACAGCAGGACAGGCCACTAGGGTCTGGGAGGAATGGCTGAATGGGTATAGGAGTTCTTCTAGAGTAATAGAAATGTTCTGGAATCAGGTGGGGTGGGGGTGGCTGTGCATACTATGAACACATTAAATGCCATTGAATTTTTCATATCAAATAATTTTGTTGTGTGAATGTCACCTTAACTTAATCAAATGTTGCAGTTCTAAGGCACTGGCTCAGAGAAGGGATCACCACCCTTTTCCCAGAGCACCTATGTGGAAAACCATGCCTACTGCCTATGGAAATGCTGGCCTCTGTGCTTCCACAATCCTGTTCGACTCCTGCATTCGAAGCCCGACCATCATCACTCTCATTTGCAGTCACAGCTTGCCAGGCCCCTAAAGACTGTTGTTCCAAACATTGAAAAATGTTTTGTTGATGACTTCAAATTGAAATTTAATTGAGTTTTTTCCTTCCTCCAAGATACCCCTAAGCAGCCCACTCAATACCCTCCCTACACTCAGTCAAAGCCAAATGCTGACCAGAAGTACATCCAGATATCCTGGATGGCTATATAAGCCATGGTGGCTCTGCTCCCACAGACCACAAACTCCTTGAAGGGTAAAACTGTGATGTCATCTTTCTTTCCCAAACCACTATGATTGCCAAACATCACCTCCAGCCCCGGTCTTGTGCCAGCACTTCATGATATGAACTCAATGGACTCCTACAATACCCTGAAAAGTTGGCTCTATCTCTAGTTGCATTTCATAGATGAGGAAACTGGGGTGTGGAGAGAAGCAGCAGCTGCAGCCCTGACTACTCTGATCATTTGAATATCTAATCCCAACCCTGCCTCTGGTGGGCATGTGTTCCTGGGAATGGGGTGGAGGAATCCTGGAAAACAGCTGAGGTGTTCCAGGGAGGGTGTAGAGCTGGTCAGAGTGACACATGAACTCTTGTCAGTTGAGGGGTCATTTATGACAGTGTTTAAATACATTATTAGGGGGCTAGAGAGATGGCTCAGTGGTTAAGAGCACCGACTGCTCTTCCAGAGGACCTGAGTTCAATTCCCAGCAACCACATGGTGGCTCACAACCACTTGTAATGAGATCTGGTGCCCTCTTCTGGCCTGCAGGGACACATGCAGGCAGAATACTGCATACATAATAAATTAATAAATTGAAAAAAAAAAAGCTCTCCCGGATTAAAAAAAAAAATTATTAACTACACATGGAAAAGCTACATGTGGTCAAAGACCAAAAAACCTTGGGAGACATTCAAGTCTTAGAGAAACAGTGCCTCTGGGGAGGAAGAAGAATGGGAATATGGAGGAGAGAGAGGTGGAGGTGTTCCCACTTAAATATCAATCTGAAATAACTATTGGGAAGCACTGTCATTTTATGATCTAGGTGGAAAAGGTATCTTTTACTCACTATGTGAATGTAAAACGACAGCAATCACACTGATAACGGTGGTGGTAAAAGAGATAAGGATGCTGGTAATGGTTGTGATGGTATGGGGATGGCATAGATGGCAGCAGGGATGATCATGGTGGTAATGGTGGTGATAATATTAAGGATGGTGAAGACAGCTCCTAGGAGGTCCCACCTCTTTGATTCTGGCTGTCACAGAGGCTCCTCTATGGTTCCAAGGTCAAGGTACTCCTACTTGCCACTCAGGGAGCAGGAAGGAGGGAATGGCCATGCTGAGAAGAGAGGGGTTTCTGAAGTGAAATGGACACAAGATCAGGTTTTTCCTGGGTATTGTAAGGACACACGGCTTTGGTGGACTTCTTGCAAGAAAATTTGAGCTTCCGCCATTACTCTGCCTTTGCAGTCCCCAGAAAGGCTCCCTATGGCTCTGTGTGCAGTCTCCTCACCCAGGATGTAAGGTATTTATGGATCCTGAACTGGGACCTTTTCCCAAAGGTCACTCAGCCTTGTGGAACCAGAAGACTGCAGTGTTGGGACCTTATAATCTCTCTCTGTAGCAAGAGTCCCCTGAGGTTGATTCTTGGGGAACCTAGGGTGTTAGATAATTTCTCTTTGCCTCTGTGTTTCTGCTTTCAATAGCTTGGGCATTTCCAGTCAAGAACAGTGTCTGCATTCAGCCCACTGCCAGCTTTAGAGCTTCCATCACTTGGAATTGCTGAGATGTCTGAGGCTGTTCACTAATCAGCTGCCCCTCTCCCCAGCTGCGCACTGGTACAGGTTTTAATTGATTTCATTGTGGTCATCATCTCTCCAGCTGTGTCTCAGATCTGAGGGGCACTAGGCCTGGAGGCAGGAAACTGCAGTGCCTGATACTGGAAGTCGGGGGAATAGTCTCTGAACAAATTGACACACCTCCCGGAGATATGGCGTGGTTGCAAGCTACAGAGTGCTTGAGCAGTGGTGTGTGAGTGTGTGTGTGTGTGTATATGTGTGTGTGTATATATGTGTGTGTGTGTATATGTGTGTGTATGTGTGTGTGTGTGTGTGTGTGTGTGTGTGTGAATCCCAGCTGTAGGCTGTATGGTGTACCCACAGTACCTGAGGAAGTATCCCAGCCACTGACATTGGTAGGCTTCAAGAGCCATCTCTGCACTGAAAAGATGTGGTTTCCTGGGCCTGCCCAGAATGTCAGGGGTGCACTGAAACCTAGGTGCCCCACTTTCAGCCTCCCCTTACCTTTCCCACTGTTTTCCATAACAAATCACTGCTCTTGTAGACCAGAATGGCAGAGAGAAGGGCCCCTGGTCTTTGAGCACCTAGTGATGTATTTCTAAAGCATTGGTCTTCTTTAATAAGTCGAATTGAACCTGTATGTGGGCTGGATGTGCACCTGAGAAGAGAGCCCCCCCAAACTGGCTCCTACCCACAGAGCCTCATTTTTTTTTTTCAGAACATGGTAAGGCAATTAGAAATGAGTTTTTTCAGAGAAATTATCATTCTCAAACATAATGAAGCCATTATGTGCAGAGCAAAGCTTTAAAGTCACGTTTAGGGAAAGTGCAAGTGGTGTGACCAGAGTGCATGATTTAATGGTCCCCGAAGTGACTCACCAATAGCTGGGGTGCTTCTTCACAGAGCATAATAGATGCGGGGGACTGTAGGAAGCATTTGCCTTTGGACAGACCAGGTCTATGTGAGCATTTGAGCACCGGTGGACACTTAGGTTCCTCCTTTACCAGACCAAGGCTGAGGTTTCCTGTGCAGCTGAGAAGGGTTCTCAGATGACCTCCCATTTCTGGCTCTGAACTTTCTCTTTGAGTCCCTTCCCTGTTTCTCACCCCTGCTAATAACCATCTTTGGGATGCCCCAGAAGCTCTACTGTCCACAGAGTTTGTCCAGTATACACATTAGATAGGCATATGTCCTTTAGAAAATGGTGTTGCCATGCGGCTTGGGGCTCTGCAGGATCAAGAGATGAGGGGCTGGGCTGGGATTCAGCTCAGTGGTGGAGTGCTTGCCTAGCTGTGCTAGAAGGGGAAATGATATCAAAAGACAAGGGTTCAAAGCTGCTGCTAGAAGTGCAGAGAACCAAGGAACAATATGACCATCCTTGGTCATCCATATATCTGGCCTGTAGCCATCCATATATGTGGGCTCAGTGACCCAGACAGCTTCCCCTAGGTAGACCATTGGCTTCTAGAGGCCTTCCTCTCTAGTCTGGGCTCTCATCAAGCCTGAGGATTGGCTGACTAGAATGAGGCTCTGGTTCTGCTGCAAAGAGAGTCCAGATGTGACTGCTCACCAGCCCATTATGTGAGACCTTCCCAGCTTCCAGGGGTCCCTCTCTACCTATGACACAGACATGGTTGTAAGTGGGGCTCAGTGACTCTATATCCCAGAGGGATGCCCACCAGAAGGCTTTCTACCTCTCCTGGCTGAAAGTACAGAGCCTGAAATGGGAACCAGGACTTAAAGGGATATGGAAATCAGACTGCTTTGTGTACAAGGTGGCATAGAAGAGGAATACAACTCTAACAGAGGCAAGCAGAGGAGTCTGAGCAGAGGGGATGAGGCTAAAGGACCACCCTGAGGTCTCATTCAAACCTTTTCAGTCAAGGCCTCCCTTCAAACCCCACATCTGAGCTCCACTTAGGAAGTGGAACCCCATAGAGTAATCTCTCTGCATTGTTTTCTGTGATGGTCTGGCTCCTGGTCCCAGAGCCATGGGGGATTCATTTTTGTCCAGCATGTGGCCAACATGGACCAGTCCTTCTGATGCATCAGCATGTCAGCTGGGATTAGCCACTTCACAGGATGCCTTTAACAGCAGGGCCTCTGCCACAGATAAGGGCAGAGTGGAGAGGGGATCCCTATATCCCACGTTTGCCTACATGGTCTCTCCTAGAAGGCTGAGCCACCTGAGATTGTGGAAGCAGCCACATGATTTGATGTCAACAACAGGAAGACTTCAGGGTTGCTACTCAAACCTAGGCTCCTGTTTACTTCGAGAATGATTAATCATGGTCCCAAGGGTCTTCCCCTATTCACACTCAGGGCTCACCTTTATAGTAAGTCATAAATCTTTGAGCCTCAATCTGACACTGGTGGTTATATGAGGTATGGAGGGGATGAGCCCCCAGCATACACAGAGGTCATTCGGTGTAGCAGAAAGGCAAAGTCGGGAAGCAGAATGGCAGCGGGTTGCTTTTCTGGGATCCGAGCGAGGCCGGGCAAACCCCTCTGTAGCCCCGACCTCAACACGGATCCGGCACCCATCTCAGCTGAGAAGCTCTTGCGAGGGCCAGGGCCGGTTATTAATACCCAGACCAGCACATTCCCAGCTGGCAGCGGGACAGGTGGCTGCTGCAGCTCAGCAGCGGGCGTGGCGTAGAACTCTAGGGAGGCGGGAGACCCGCACCACACCGTGTGCCCCGAGCGGAGCGGGCTCAGAACCTCGCGTCCCGCCGCCCAGCCTGGGAGAGCGCACAGGGACGTCCTGGCGGCACGGCTTTCCGAGCAACATTAGCCAGCCTGCGCGCGGTGATGGCCACTGGGTCTCGAGTATCTGAGTGACAGGACGCTGGTGTCTCTCTTAAGCCCTGGGCTGGGAGGCAACCGATGGCTTCGTGACTGAGGTGAGCGCACGGTCGTGGGCTGCACAACCCGAGGCACCCGGGCGCGCCGGGCTACTGCCTACCCCGAGCCCAGCGTGCACCTCTCAACCCCGGAGGGCGCGGCTCGCGAGTGCCCGGGAGCGCACTGGAAACTTTCACCATCCCTGGACTGGTGACTAGAGGGTCAGTCGTCATTTCTGCGTTCTGCCGGGCAGGAGGACCCCAGTGTCTCTGGTGCTGACCAGTGAGGTGAGACAGCAAGGGGGAAGAGGACTTCTCACCCTAGATCTGCCTGGTGCTTCTGCTTTGGCTGAGGAGAAAGAGCACTTCCACAGACATTTCAGGGCCTGGATGTTGGAGAGGCCTGTGCAACTCCGGGTCTTCTCAATCCACTTTCTCTCAGAAAGTTCACCCTTTAGGTCCACCCTTTAGGCCTTTCTTTTTCTTGTGAGGCTAACCTAATCGAGTCATCAAAAGTCTGAAGTATACGAACCTTAGAGGGGTTTTTTGTTTGGTTTGGTTTTTTGAGACAGGCTTCCTCTGTGTAGCCCTGGCTGTCCTAGAACTCGAATTCAGGGATGTAGACCAGGCTGGCCTCGAATTCAGGGATCTGCCTGCCTCAGCCTCCTGAGTGCTGGAATTAAAGGTGTGCACTGCCACCCTTGGCTGAAGCTTAGACAGGTTTTTTGTTTTGTTTTTAACGTGTGAGTACCACTGAGGGCAGGGAATGTGCATACCTAGCCATGAGGGATTTCCAGTGTTCCACAGTGAGAACACACACACACACACACACACACACACACACACACACACACGCACGCACGAATGCACGCACACACACACGAACGCACACACGTGCGCACACGCACGCACGCGCGTGCGCGCACACACGCACACCACTGCTTTGACCTCCTGTAACCGTTAATGAACTCATCTCGGAGGGAGCCACATTTGAACTCCTGCCTGCTACTGTCCTTCAGAACCACGTTTCACCCACACTGCAGCACAGGTCTTTTCATTTCTGCGGGTCATTTTAATGGAACTTTTGCTTTATACTATTGCTGCTGCTATTTATGGTCAATTGGGTTGTTTCAAACTCATTAGACACAAAGCTGCTGTTCTTTGGAGTGTAAGTGGGATCACTGGTGACACAGTACACACCTGTTTTGCTTCACTGAAGTGCCAAACTTTTCCAAGGCTGCTGTAGCATTTCACATTCTCAATTGCAGTCATTGGAAAGTCTAGTTATAACTCCCATAACTCAAGAACAGGTGCATTGATCTTTCTGGCTATAGGCATGTAACAAGTCTTTTTCTACCCTGCCAACCAGCTCCCAAATAATGACACAGGGACTTATTGTTATGAAAGCTTAGCCTTAGCTTAGGTTTGTTCCTAACTAGTTCTTACTATGTTCTATCACATGGCGTTACCTCTCTCCCATCTTGTACCTCCTGTTTCCTCCATGTCTCCTGGCTACTCCTGTGCGCCTAGATTCCTCCTCCTCTTCCTTTCTCTTCCCAGAAATCCTGCTATTGGCTATTGGCTGTTCAGCTTTTTATTATACCAGTCACAGCAATGCACCTTCACACAGTGTACAAATATTCACAACACAGGCATGCTCTGTGTGTGTGCCTGTGAGCGCACGTGCACGCTTTAGAGTTCGTGATTTTGATTTGCATTTCTCTGTGGTAACAAGCTGTGCAGAACATCTTTTCATTAGTTTGTGGCCTTTTGGGTATTTTCCTTCAGTCATTCCTGTTCAGTTTGCCTGCCCCCCCCCCCCCGCAAACGGCCAATTATTCTTTCCTTCACGGTTTACAGTTCTTGCGTGTACATTGTTCACTCGTCCATTGATCTGATGTATATTTTCTCATCTCACTTTTACTTGTTTAATGAAGTTCTTAATTTTGATGAATCTTGGGGTTTCGTGTTTTTTTTAAAGACTTTATTTTTATTATGTGTATAAATGTTGTTTGCATATATGTATGTACTTCACATGTGTGCCTGGTACCTGAGGAGTTCAGAAAAGAGTGTCTGACTCTCTGGAGTTGGAGTTACAGACGGTTATTAGTTGCTGTGGTGGTTTGAATTAAATGGCCCCATCGGCTCATAGGGACTGGTACTTTTGGAGGGTGTGGCTTGTTGGAGGAAGTGTGTCACTGGGAGTGGGCTTTGAGGTCTCAGAAGCTCAAGCCAGGCCTAGTTTTTCACTCTCTTCCTGCTGCCTGCGGATCCAGGTGTAGAACTCTCAGCCATCCTTCCAGCACCACGTCTGCCTGCTGCTACCATGCTTCCTGCCACGATGATAATGGACTAAACCTCTGAATTGTTTAATCCAGCCCCAATTAAATGTTTTCCTTTGAAAGAGTTGCCATGGTCATGGTGTCTCTTCACAGCAATAGAACCCTAAGACAGCTGCCATGTGGGTGCTGGGAATCCAACCCAATTCTTCTGAAAGATCAGCAAGTGATCTCTCCAGCCCCAGTTAAGCTTGTTTTTAAGTAATCTTTTCCTGAGCTAGAGAGATCACTCAGTGATTGAGAGCACTTGCTGCTCTTGCAGAGGACCTGAGTGTGGTTCACAACCACATGGGGGTTCACAACCATCTGCAACTCCAGTTTCAAGGTATCTGATATGCTCTTCTGGCCCCTGAAGATACCCTGATGTGTACCTGGTATACATACATTTGTGAAGTCAAAACACTCGTACATATAAAACAAACCTGAGAGAGAGAGAGAGAGAGAGAGAGAGAGAGAGAGAGAGAGAGAGAGAGAGAGAGAGAGAGCTGAGAGGGCTGTTCTTTAAAAAATAAAAATGTCGGGCATAGTGGCACACTCAGGAGGCAGAAGCAGGTGGATCTCTGTGAGTTCAAGGCCATTCTGATCTACATAGAGAGTTCCAGGCCAGCCATGGCTGCATACTGAGCCTTTGTTGTTTTTTTAAATAATAATAATTTTCTGGAAGGTGGAGAGATAGTTCAGTGGGTAGGAGTGCTTGCCTCCAAGACTGACGACTTTAGAGCCTGGAGATCTACACAGAAAAAAAGGAAAAAGATCAATCCCAAAAGTGTCCTAACCTCCACATGAACACTGTAGCATTCCCATATGTACACACGCACTCACACATGCACACCAAATAAGAATGTAAGTTAAACAATTTTTTAGAAAAAAGAAGTATTTTCCTACTGTGACTCATAATGATTTCTTCCAAAGGCTTTTTTGGCTGTCCTCCATCACTATATATGTAATGTAAGGCAAGGATCCAGGCTCATTTCTTTGGTAAGATAAATGAAAAATTTACCTATTTTTCTATTGGAACTTTTAAGCTCAGTTGATATTACTTTGTGACTGGAAGAAATCGCCTTTTTAAAGTATACAAGTGACATAATCAGGAAACGGGACTCTTAGGTTGCAGAGCTAGATCTTAGGACTCTCATCTCTGCCCAGTGCTGACCTCTGCCATGCTGTGACCAGCTTTTCAGAAAAGCAAAGGCCTTACATTTGCATTGGAGTGGGACTGGGTTCCTGCTGGGTGGGCAGTGGGTCCCAGTGGCCCTATGGTCCCTCTGTGTAGCTGGGGAGATGACACAAAAGGGTTTTTTTTTTTTTTTTTTTGAGGGTTCCAACAGGGGACAGGACTTGGTGAGCCCTTGTCTCTTCACAGAGGGACAGTGACTGTGTCCATCCTAGAGGCTGGTAGGGCATGGAAGTAGGTGTCTGTCTTGCACCTTTGACACTAATCTTCTCCCACAGGACAAGTTTCCTACAGGCCCTCCTCACTGGGCAGTAGGACCCCCACCAGAAGCCCAGTGTGAGGACAGAGATGGCGCTGAGCCTGGAGTCTACAACCAGCTTTCCCATGCTGGCCATGTCAGGAGACACTGTGTCTGAGTTGCCTGGTGGCCCCAATGTGTCCCTCAACAGTTCCTGGACTGGCCTAACAGATCACAGCTCCTTGCAAGACCTGGTGGCCACGGGTGCCATTGGGGCAGTGCTCTCAACCATGGGTGTGGTGGGCATGGTGGGAAATGTATACACTCTGGTAGTCATGTGCCGATTCCTGCATGCCTCAGCTTCCATGTATGTCTATGTGGTCAACCTGGCACTGGCTGACCTGCTGTACCTGTTGAGCATTCCCTTCATTGTGGCCACCTATGTCACTAAGGACTGGCACTTTGGAGATGTGGGCTGCCGCGTTCTCTTTAGCCTGGACTTTCTGACCATGCATGCCAGCATCTTCACTCTGACCATAATGAGCAGTGAGCGCTATGCAGCAATCCTGAGGCCTCTGGACACGGTACAGCGCTCCAAGGGTTACCGTAAGCTGCTGGCACTGGGCACCTGGTTGCTGGCACTGCTGCTGACCTTACCCATGATGCTTGCCATCCGACTGGTGCATAGGGGCCCCAAGAGCCTCTGCCTGCCGGCCTGGAGCCCTCATGCCCACCGTATTTACCTGACACTGCTCTTTGGGACCAGTATTGTGGGGCCTGGCCTGGTCATTGGGCTGCTCTACGTTCGCCTGGCCAGGGCCTACTGGCTATCTCAGCAAGCCTCTTTCAAGCAGACGCGCCGGCTGCCCAACCCCAGGGTGCTCTACCTCATCTTTGGCATTGTCCTTCTCTTCTGGGCCTGCTTCCTACCCTTCTGGCTGTGGCAGCTGCTGGCCCAGTACCATGAGGCCATGCTACTGGCACCCCAGACTGCACGCATCGTCAACTACCTGACCACTTGCCTCACTTATGGCAACAGCTGCATCAATCCCTTCCTCTATACACTGCTCACCAAGAACTATCGTGAGTACCTTCGTGGCCGCCAGCGGTCGCTGGGTAGTAGCTGTCGTGGCCCAGGGAGTGCAGGCAGCTTCCTGCCCAGCCGAGTCCACCTCCAGCAGAACTCAGGCCGCTCGCTGTCCTCCAGCAGCCAGCAGACCACAGAGACCCTCATGCTGTCCCCAGTTCCCCCTAGTGGGGCCTTTGTCTGAGAGTCCCTGTTTGAGCCTGGGGGTAGGAAAGGACCCAAAGCCAGGCCACTCAGGAGCCCATTCCCGGAATCCCCTATTCAAACCTAACCATCTTGTCTGTCCTCAACTCTCTTCTGGAAAGTTCCCTGTTCTTCTTCACTGCTGCTCACTTCAACTCCATCAGCACCTTTCCTGCAATGCCAACACTCCTCTGAACCTCTCTCTCCGGATCTTCAGAAGCTGTGGCCCAGACCCTCTTCTGAAGACCCCAGAGAATTGAGTCATCTAAAGCCTACTTACTCAGAGCAGCTGTGCAGGGCTGGGAACCTGATCTGGAGATGTAAGCTCTTCCAGCCTTGAGGACCCGCCCCCACTGGTGGGTAAGGGGTCTGTAGACAATTTCTACCCTCTCCCTCTCCTAACCCCAACCCATGGTAGCTTCTTGTTTCCATATGCACACAGAACAATAAACCCTGTGCTCTGTAGTCTGCCCTGCCTCGGTGCTGGGGATGGAAGGCTGGAGGGGGTGGTCCTGGACTCATGAGGCACCTGAGTGTTCGGTGAGGGCATGTCTGCTTTCCAAGCCTTTGCCGGTGGATGTCCCTACATGGGAGCCCTCCCATTTATTTAGGGTGGGAAGGAGGGCAGATAACTGAGAGGTATGAGAAGCTGGGGTGGGATGGGCAGACTGGGAGGAGAAGCTGCCAAGCTAGCAGTGGAGCTCAAGTGTAGAAAGGAGGCCCTGCAGGCTGTAGTTCTTAGATGAGGCAATCAAACCCACATGTGGCTCATAGTGACAGCAATGAGGCCTTGGCTTCACTGTTCCTGGACAAACTGTTTCTCTGTCCCAAGTACCATCCTCAGGACATCCTTGCCTTGGCTGACCATTCCTCCTACCATGGCCAGACAACACCTGTCCTCCCCCTTTAGGGTGATCATCAGAGGCTGGGACAGCACCTTGGTCCGGTTAGTACTCTTGCTGTGGCAGGTACACCCCTGTGGCAGGATATGAAGTTCAGGTCTCTGGAGTGATACAGTGCTCCAGAAGTAGATTCTGGTGACTGGCCACAGTACTTTGTGCTTCTCTATGGCTAAGATAGTAGATTTATTTTGCTATTAAAAAGCAAAATAAGCCGGGCGGTGGTGGCGCACGCCTTTAATCCCAGCACTCGGGAGGCAGAGCCAGGTGGATCTCTATGAGTTCGAGGCCAGCCTGGTCTCCAAAGCGAGTACCAGGAAAGGCGCAAAGCTACACAGAGAAACCCTGTCTCGAAAAAACCAAAAAAAAAAAAAAAAAAAAAGCAAAATAAGAGGAGTCAGGTATTGGTGGCACACGCCTTTAATCCCAGCACTCAGGAGGCAGAGACAGGAGGATCTCAGTGAGTTCAAGGCCAGCCTGGTCTACAGAGCTAGTTCCAGGACAGGCTCCACAGAGAAACTCTGTCTCGAAAAAAACCAAACAAACAAACAAATAAAAAAAACAAAGAGGAATACACATGGGCACATACATGAACACACGAAGTCTGTGCTAAATATCAAAGACTTTGTCTCTAAATTAAAAAAATAAAAAAACATTTTTTTTTGAGATAGTGTCTCACTATGAAGCCCTGGTTGGCCTCAAACTCACTATGTAGACAAGACTGGCCTTGAACTCACAAAGATCCACATGGGATTAAAGGCCTAACTCTAAATTAAAATTTTAAAAGGGCTGGGAATATAGCTCAGTGTCAGAACACGTGCTTAGCATGTGAGAGGCCCTAGGTTTCACCACCACCTCTGCAAAACAAAACCAGCAACTGGCTAGTGAATTCACTTGAGGAATATGTGGGTGGCGGGACAGAGCATCCTAACCCAGGCTGGGAACCCCTGCCCCTGGGCTGCCCCGTTCCTTTGCCCCAAACCCCGCTGTCTCTTTGATGCTGGGCTTTGGCATTAGAAAGCCCCTTCTTTCTTGACAAAGTCCAATTCCTGGTCTTGTTTCTAAGAACTCAGGGTTGGGACCAAGTTTGTACCACCTTACTTGACACTCACTCCGGTTGTGGGCTCAGTCCTGGGCAGGGGTGGCCCTCATTCCAGGCCCACTTCTCTGGGAGGCTTCCTCATGCTCCAGAGCTCAGATGACCCAGAGAAGGGAGTTTCTGCAACACTATATGCCCACTTAGGGCACTGTGATCCAGAGTCAGCACGCAACTGAAGGGGTGGGTACCATCCCTGGAGAGAACCATATCCCTCCTCCCCTCAGAGGCTGTTCTAGAGTACAGGATGGGGTGGCCAGGAACTGGAAAAGCCTGAATGATGTGGAGTGTAGCCTCATCCCTAGAGCCAACATCAGGGAGGTAACCTAGTGAGGTCTGTGGGAACATGTGTCTTTATCCAGAGGGACCTGATATATTCCAGATATCCCTACCAGCCTGACAGTAACAAAGTCCTAAAGCCAGAGCTTCCAAAAGGCCACTTGTAATAAGAACCACTGTCCTGGAAAAACTTGGATGAATAACCAGCATCTCTGTGACAGTCACTATCCTAGAGTCTTGGCACCCACTAGATCTGGCCTCAGAGCCTCTTTGGACCAGCACTGACAGAGGTTGGTGCAGAACAATGATAATGCATGTATATATGTGCACACACACACACACACACACACACACACACACACACACACACACACACCAAACACACTACATATAACAAATGCACCAAGTACACACCCAAACATGTATCCCACCACACATTCCACATCACACACAACAAATGCATAAAACATTTACCTCATACATTCACCCCTAATACACATACCATATCATGTACAACACCCATCAAACTTACCATATGCATATATGTACATACCACAGACATAACATATAAAATACACAAAACCCACAACATATACAAACACATACTAAACACACACAGCACACTCTGCCATCCTCTAGAGATTCTGCCTGTGACAAACTAATAATGGAGGTAACATGTCAGCTTTCAATATGAGTGATACCAAGCATAACTTCCAAGTCTCTCTACCTCTCTGGGTAGTGGGGCTGGGCATAGCCACCATCACAGAGTCACCTTGGCTCTGTCCTTCTTTGGCCCATAGCTTCAGTGGCAGGCCCATCTATGGCCTGCCTGCCCTTGCGTCCAGCTGGGAGCTGGAGCTGCCCTCCACTGAGACCTTCCTGTCATACCCAGCACAAACTGAAAGCCCTGCTAGCGGACTCCTGTTGGAGCATGCGGACTTCACTGTCCTGCCAGCTTGCCCATCACTGACCTGGGCCCTGCTCACCCACCATGTTTTGGGGACAATGTCCTCCTGGACCCATGATTGCCAGCTAACATGGTAATTTTCCCTCTTCATTTCTCAGGTCCTCAGAGAACTTTTAGCTTCCTGTTCCAAATAGAAAGTGCCGGCAGGGAGTCTGAACCTGGGGTGAGCAGCAGTCCTGCTGATTGGTACCCAGGGGCTCCCTAGGACATGAGCCTTTCTAGAGTAGCCTCCAAGCTGTCAAAACAGAAAAGACAGGAAAAGGTGGCCTGAGGACCCAAGCCTGGGCAAGGACAAGACAGTCAGGTCTGGAGCTTGGAATAAATTCAGGGAAAGTTATGATAGAGAGAGTCCTGTGCTGCTCTGGCCAGCCAGGAGAGAAGGGGAGGATTCAACGATAGGAGGGAGGGGAAGGGGTCATGAGAAGTGGGAAGGAGACAGAGGTGGAGTGGCCATGTTCCTAGGCTTGATCTGGCTGTTAATGAGGTCCCCATCCGAGTCCAGGCATAGCCTCCTGGGCAGTGATAGCCAGTGGCTGGGGAGGGGAAACTTGACCTGTGTGATGGATGATCCCACTGAGGCTGAGGGGCATAGGATGATAGATCAAGTTCTTTAGCTTTTAAATGTCATCCACCCAACACTCAAACTCTAGCAAAGAAGAAAACAAACTGAAATGCTCGTGTGATGCACCCTGTGCTTTGTGTCAGAGTGTTGGAGGAAGGTGAAGCTGGCCTTTGACTGCTGCCCCGGGCCTCTGACTGTCCCAGGATGAGTTGGCTTCTTGGGACACCTATGTTCCAGGACAGGGTTCCAGATTCACATGCCCTTAGGGTGTGAAGTCCACCCACTCTGCCTGGGCCTCTTGCTTTATCCTACATTAGACCTGGGCAGGAGCTGCTGGACAGTGTTGCCTGGGCAGGAGGTCGAGGCCACTCATCACAGTTCAGCCTGGCTGTGGATGCCTGTCTGAGGCCATGGGATTTGGGCAGAGAGTCAGAAGCATCTGCTTCTGATCTAGACACAGTGTGGACAACAGCCACGAGAGCAGAGGCTCCAGGGTCTTTGTGCCACTTTCCTCCAAGGTGCTAAACACCCCAATACTATAATCTTCCAGTGAGGTAACCTGGCTCAGAAATGGCTCAGATCTGAACCAGGCTGACCCTGGAGACAAGAGATTTGCCTTAAGTGGATGAGACACTCTACCAGGCAGGTGACTGTGTCCCTCAGGAAAGCAAAACTCAGGTGGCATTTTACACATTTTCGTGTGGTGGTTTGAAAGAAAATGGCCCCACAGGCTCATAGGGAGTGGCGCTATTAAAAGGTGTAGCCTTGTTGGAGGAAGTGTGTCACTGTGGGGGAGGGGCAGGACAGGCTTTAAGGTCTCCTATGCTCAAGCTACACCCAGTGTGGGACACAGTCTCTTTCTGATGCTTGTGTATCAAGATGTGGAACTCTCAGCTCCTTCTCCAGCATCATGTCTGCCTGCACACCGCCATGTTCCACCATGATGATAATGGACTAAACCTCTGAAACTGTAAGGCAGCCCCAATTAAATGTTTTCCTTTATGAGAGTTGCAGTGGCCATAGTGTCTCTTCACAGCAAAAGAAACCCTAATTAAGACAATGTGAAATATAAAATCATGAAAGAATGAAGGAGAAAAATGAGTGCCCATATTTCTAAAATGAGGAAAAGAAAGATGACTGCAAGTCTGATCCAGTGGATGGTGGTGGTGCACACCTTTAATCCTAGCACTTGGGAGGCAGAGGCAGTTCAAGGCCAGCCTGGTCTACACAGCAAATTCCAGGCAGCCAGGGCTATATAGTGAGACCCTAATTAAAAAAGAAAGGAAGGAAGGAAGGAAAGAAAGAAAGAAGGAAGGAAGGAAGTCTGACCTAGAACCCAGAGCTCTCCAGAAGAGGGAAAAACTCTGGTTATATAGGCCATTTAGAATTTGATGCAAAAAAAAAAAATGCTATAAGCCAAAATAGAGAGTCTGTGGTTTAAAACAAAACAAAACAAAACAAGACCCAAAAAATTGACCTTTCTCATCAAGAGCCCCGTGGGATTGGTTGATAGAACATTTGCCCAAGAGGTATGAGGGATTGGGTTCCATGCCCAGCACCACAAAATTATATATATATACAAAATGGATATGATCAAGATACCTTGTTTACATGTATGAGACTGTCAAAGAATAAATAAAACATAGTCTATTTTAAAATTCAAATAAATAAATAAATTGAGCCACATCAATGTTTATGACTCTTGCCTGAGAGATGGGGATTTTATCCTGAAATCCAAATATCAGATGTTGATAAGGATTTATGCAGCAAGGATTTGCTTTCAGCACTGTCATGGAATGTCTCACAGCTGTTAACTAGGTCATAGCATGGCATCTTCAAAGAATGTTCTGTGGAGTCAGAAAGGGATGAATCTGAGGCACGGTGGTCATGGAGAGAGACCAGAACATAAAATTGTATAGCACAATCTCAAGTTTCATCTAAAACAAACAGAAATGCACTTGTGATTGTGTGCACAGGAATCTGGTGTGTGGTTGTATGTGGACATGCATGTGTGTGTGTACAAGTATGCCTGTGTGTAGGATTGCATGGTATGTAAATATACACACACATATACAAAAAAAGCTTCACAGAAGTGCCTTCAATATCAACAATGTTAGCTGATGGTGGGAAAACTTTAGTGTTTTTAATCTTATACTTTCTGAAATTTCTCCCAGAGGATACTTGCAGCTTTAAATTTGGGAATGTTATTTAAGTATAGCAGTGTCAGAGACTTCCACTATTACTCCAAGCTTAGCTGGACCAGAGCATTTCCAGACTAAAAAGGGTCCCGTGCTTCCCAGGTTTCCTAGATTAACACCCCTGCACACTGGGCCATCATCGGCTATGCCATAGGGAGAAGGAAATGGAGTAAGTGCAAGAGCCTGGGAACTGAAGAAGTCAGAACTAGGGTCCAGGCTCATGTTGCCCAACCACCAGAGGTCCCCTGCCTTTGAAGGCCCCACTTTG